CATACGCCTATCACGTCTATGATGGCCCCGACGAGGCTGTGAGTATACGACTTTCATTAAATATTGTATATTGCATGCTTTTAAGTGGTACTATGAGAAAGAGATTAATCATCTGTAGCCTTCGAAGAGGTGAAGCTCAGGTAACAGGCCCAAAATAGTGCAGGTAACAGGCCCAAAATCTCAAGCATACGGGGTGCAGTATACTGCAATTTTCAAGCGTTCCTGTACTGCAACCTTGATGCGATGGTCAGTTGATTTCGCACAAGACGTATGTTAGATTATGCAAATTGTCAAATTTTACAGAATCTCTCAAATAAATCGCTTTGTTTGTCGGGGTTGTCGAATCGTGGGAAGAATCGCCTGTACGATACGAAAAATTTGTATGGTTTAAATGAAGCGATCCACACGCAAAAAGCAGTTTATAAAGCAACCGGAAAGCGTGGATTCATCCTCACAAGGTTATTCTATTAAGCAGTTATTAGGCAATAAAATTTTTAAGGAATTTTAGAAGAGAGTTTCATTTGCGGATATATACGCTTATGTGGAGAAAACTGCTCAATTCTGGATACCACCAGCAGCCGAAGCAATTTTTTGTTCTCTTCATTTGAACGAATTTCAGCAAGTTTTTTGTTGTCAGTAAGAAAAACTTATTCGTTTAGATCAACATTCCCATCATCCGGACACTATGCTGGTCATTGGCTTGGCGATAACTACGCTGATTTTGCATCACTTCGAGCTTCAATCATTGGCATCCAGGAATTCAATATGTTCGGCATTCCGTATGTTGGCGCTGATATCTGTGGATTCAACGAAAATACCACCGAGGAGCTCTGCCTGCGATGGCAGCAATTGGGTGCTTTCTATCCGTTCATGAGGTGCGTCAGTTTCTTTAAACTGTCTTTTTAACTATATTTGAAATCTCCTCTATGCTTCCTTGTATATAAATTATTACACACCAGCATCTGTGCTAAATTAATAGAGAATTTTTCAGGAATCACAACAATATTTTTTGTATAGCTCAAGATCCAGCAGCTTGGCCATCAGTCGCATCAGCGGCAGGACAAGCTATATATTTTCGCTACTATTATCTGCCCTACTTATACAGGTTTGTCTCATTATTGTTTTGATTGTGTGTATTTCGCAGCTTGTTCCCCCAATTATGCAAC